TGCTTCTTCTAGAATGTGCAGATGTATGATGCCTTTTATCCATTCACCCCTCCCCGCTCGCTGCAGCTCGAGCACATCGGCTCACCTACGACTCTGCTCAAACTCTGCAAACCTCCTCTGCGCTGCATAGTGGTTAGAGAAATTCACCCAAACATGTTCAAACCAGAAGGGAAAGAACCCCACCACAAGCTAACAGGATTGGTTCTCGGGTTATTTAGGGCTGAACGATTAATTGACTTCAAATTAAAACTGTAATTTGAAGCAGCCAGCATGCAAATTCTGCATTTTAGGATATTATGCATGGCATCTGATCCCAGTTTTGAACTGTTGGGTCAGTCGTTTTACAGATCGCGCCGTCCTCCTTGTGTGACAGTCAGGCTGAAATGTTTTAAAGCTATTACACAGAAAATATTAAACTGCAACTTGACTTTAAAAAACACATCACAAATGAAATTGCAACTGCAATTGCATCTGTCAGAAAAACTGCAATTTTCCCTGAATTGTTCAGCCCTATTTGTTATGTATGAAACTCTGGCAGTCTGAGTCTGTGTTTTTGAGATTGTCATCGGTACACTGCGGCTTCATGGTGGAAAAGCTCAGCCGTGGCACTGACTGCTTAATTTGCTCATGATATGTCTTCCACCGTACATATATATATACACACACACAAATTGAATTTGTTAACAAGATAAACACCCTGCTTTTCACCACAGGAGGTCTTTAGGAATACATTGTCAAACTTGTTGTTTAATTTTCTATTGATTAACAAGTTAGTTAATTATGTGATTAATTGTTTTGTCACTGTCAAGGTTGTTACTTACAATCTCTTCTGGACCTTCGATCTCAATATTAAATGCCTTGATAATTAGCTGAAGCATCTGCCTGACAAAATGCAATTATTAAGCTGTCACGATAACAATAACAACACCTAACACACACTCTTCTAGGAGCAACATGCAAACACTGGTCTCAAAGAGCCTTGAGTCTTAATGGCATGGATTGTACAAACTTTGTCAGCTGCACATTCATGCTGCAAATACTCCATTCAACATATCATTTGTGATATTATGCATTATCACTTCGGAAATAGTGAAAAGAAGATGGACAAATTCTGTCTTAAAAAAAGGATTCGTATAGTCAGCAATTATCTGTTTTAGCTGACAGGAGTGGAACCTGTCATAATCGTGTGCTACTGTCGTCTATATACCTCAAGGTTTGACTTGTTCTGGGATGTTTTTCTCTCACACAGAATGGTTATCGGAGTTACTACCGTAGCCTTTCTGTCATCTCCAACCAGTCTGGCCATTCTCCATTGACTTCTCTCATAAACAAGGTATTTCTCTGTGCAGAACTTCCTCTCACTGGGTGTCTTTTGTTTTTCCACTATTCTGAACATGCTTTCTGAACTGTTGTGTAGAAAGAAAGACTTAAACCATCCCAGCAGGCACCAGCAATCATGCCACAGCCAGCCAATGAGATCACATTTTAACTGAAGCCTCTGACCTGTGTCTTCATGATTTTATGCATTGCACTGCTGCATTTCCTGACTGGATGATTGCATGAATTAGGAGGTGTGCAGGTGTTCCTAATAAAGTGATCAGCGAGTGTATTTTCTGTGGGCTTTAATCATTACTTTCAGGTAACCATGCCATGTCACCAAGTGACAGTTGCCCTCATCGTCTTCACCGGAGGCTTCCAGGTACCAGGATGCCCTCTGGCAATAATTGCACCTGACAAATGAGCCTTGACAAAGGGATAGAGGGTGGTCAACCCCTTACTGATCCGACAAAGCAACTTAATTGAAACTATCAATCAGAGCTGCTACACTCTATCTCTTCTTTTCTGATTTCATTCTTTCCTGCATAATCCATTTCTCCCACTCACAGCCGCAAAAATTTATCTCCTCTCTGTCAGTCTTGCTGTCTCTCATGCTCACTTGCACACACACATATTGAGAACTATGTATGTGCGCAAAATCAATGCCAAAAAATGCTGCTTCCCTCTGCCGGCTCTCCATCCTCATCATTCCCCCGTGGTGCACAAACACATTACTTGTTCATTACATTGTGACAGAGCTAATTAATTCATCATTCCTGCATTTTCTGCTGTTTTTGCTCCAACAGCCTGCCTATCTGTCTCTGCAGCAGGTTGTGCGTTTAGCGCAGTGACATCTAAAGTCCCTGTGCAAAAGCGTAGTAGAAGCTTTCTCTCTTTTTTTTTTTTCAAACCACTACAGCCTCACACGGGATGTTACAGTCACTGACAGGGAAGAGAGGAGAGAGTCAGAACAAAAGGAAATACCTCCCCTCGCCGGAGAGGAAGGGGTTAAGCCTATTACAGAAGACCAATCAGGACTGGGGGAGCACTGCAAACCTCCGCAGTAAGAGAGAGAGAGGAAACGAAGGAGTGAGGGAGAAGAGGAGCGCAGAGCGGGAGATAGAGAGATACCAGGAGTGTGATGGTTTGCACTCCCATCCAGACGGGCTGGGAAGGAGCGCAACAGAGAGTTGATCACACGAGGAGTATTAACACAACAGTCTGCATGGATGGATGAAGGAAAAAGGGGGGCAAAGGGGGAGAAAAAAGAAGAAGAATCCCACCAGCATCCCTGATTGGACTAATCTTTGTGGACTTCTTCTGTCTGGTACTCAGGAAGGAAAGAACATCTGTCAGTTGTGTGACCCTTGTATGTTCATCAATATTCACTCCCTAATTCCTGGATTACTGCTGGAAGAAGCAGGAGATAAAGCTGCAGTTCGCATCAGTCGACCCAGATTGTTGCAGAGGTGGAAGGAGAAGGGACAGTGTGGTGAAGGCTCTGGAGCATCTGTGTTTACTCTGCATGGTGAGCTTTGCTGTGTTTTGATGGGGCGCTACTTATTGGTTTGATTTATAGCACTGAGACGAGTCGAGCGTATATGACATCAAAGGAAACTCAATGCCAAACATCTCTGTGCACAAATGCGCAGGATTAAAACCCCCTCAACAATGCAATTGCCTAAATAACTTCAGTTGCGGTGTATTGTTGGAAGACTTTTATCTAGAAATATATGATTGAGTGCAACCTATAAGAGCTGATTCAAATACAGACAGGCTTTAACTTTGATTTCAAGAAGCTCCTACTGTCAACATCACACTCTCAAAGGCTTTAGATCATTTGTTTATGCATTAGGATGTCTGTATATTTCACACTGTGAGCACATCTGTGTCTCACTGCTACACACACACACACACACACACACACACACACACACACACAACTGTCAGTATCTATAATAGGAGAAACTCTTGTGCTCGTTAAAATGCAAAATCCAATCTTTTACCTGGTACAGAGCCATGACATCCATTGTTCATTTCTGCTGACATTGTGGCATTATAAAGTAAAGGCTTCTCTCACTGAAACAACCTTGAAGAGTGACCGACATGTTTCTCCGAAGAGATTACATGGATCACATATAGTGACACACTGGGAGGCATTCATGTCTTTATGACAAGCTCCCCAAGGGATCCCACTGCACAAAAGCTGTAAGCTTCAGACTGTCCTGTCATGGAAACTGTGGCTGCACAAGAAACATACAGTCATTTACACTGAGCATCTTCCTGTGCTAATTTATGCTACACACAACAAGCAAAATGTCACGCCAGGTAATCTTCAATCAGAAAACACGAGGACGGGATGTGAAATACCATTTGCTTTTGTGCAAGCCCTTTATTAGTGCTAGTGTTATGTTAATGCACCAGCAAAGATGTAAAGTGCATCAGGCGCAGCACAGGAACATGATAAGACATCAGAGGCTTGTTGCTATGTTAATGAGAACTTCCATGTCGCCTCTCTGCTGAGGATATGTTTATTTTCACTAACGCATCCCCCACACTTCTCTCTCCTACTCCTTCTACTCTCCCTCATCCTCTCTCACTCCCTCTATCACGTATTACATTATTTTCTCTCTCTTTTCAGGTCACTGTGAAGCAAAGATACGAAACTGAAGAACGTAAAGATGACAGTGTACACAACGTCTTCTTCTTCATCTTAAAGTTTAATTGTTGTACGGGATGTGTTTGCAAATCCTAAAGGACGTCTCACTGATGAACTGACTTCCACGACCTCATGAGAATGACCTCCTCCTGAACTGCTCAATCACAGCCCCCCCATCCTCCTCTCCCAACCAGCCACATATAAATACTGCCGATCACAAATGTCACAGTGATCACATGTGTCATGGTGATTGGACACACATGCACTCTAATAATCTGCTCCACTCACGCCACCGCCAGTGATTTAAGGTTCAGCATGTCACGGGACAAACTGGAGACCTGTGCTCGATTTACAAGTCAATGGCGGCTGGAGCCAGGCGTACAGAGACTGATGAGAAAGGTGGAGAGTGAAGGCCTGTTCCATTAGTGCTCTCAGGGGAGTCATGGGCCTGGACGCAGCCCGGACACACTGACCTCTTCCAAACACGCTGTGGACATTACAATGGTGGGCACTGGGGAATCTACATGGCTGACTGACAACTCTGCCTCTTGGAGTACAAGCTAATGGATATAATTATTTTTTTATATTCACAGATCTGACTACCATCTACTCGCTGTGGACAAAAAAAACAAAACAAAACAAAACAAAGGGTTTGGAACGTACTATGAACAGTACATTCCAGCACTGCACAGGGGAAAGAGTCTGTGTTTCTTTGTTTTCTTGGTTGGCTGTGTCTCTCCTCCTTGGGAATACCATGAGATTATAAACAGGAGGTGGATCCAACATCGTATCCCTGTTCCACTCATCTATCAGTGCTCCCACTATCACCAAAGCAAACCAGAGATCTGAGCAAAAAATCTGTAGAGGACGTAAGCCTGTGTTCTCTAACATCCACTGGGCACAGGTGGCTAATTCCGAGGCATTCTTGCCATTGAGGTCAGGAAGAAAGAGCTGGCAGCTCATCCACAGTCTTTGGCAAACCAGACAGGTGTTTTTCTGGCTGTCAACCTCTCTGGGAAGGACTCGCAGTGAAAGGAAAAGCCTCGCTGGGGGGCTCTGCTGGAGCGGAGACACTTTTCCACTAGCTATGTTTGGATGTGATGCTCGTCTCTGTGGATCTAACATGGACTCTATGGCCTGATTACACAGCCCTGGTGTTCAGATAGTGCTGGAGGGAAGGGTAAATATTACAAAAAACATTTGTTTTTCTCCATGTCATCTAGAACCTATTCAGATCGGACTGGGGGGTGGATTTTAATTATGCATGTGCTAATCAGTGATTACAGTTTATTCTAGAGCGTGCGTGATTTTGATTTCTCTCCTCCTATTACAAAAATCATGACACTATTTCAGAATACCAACAGATTTTGGTGCATTTATCAGGCCTCTACTTATTTGTGTGCAGTCCAAATAAACATATAGACCTTTAAAATGCATCTCTGAGAGTTGGAAGTCTGCTGCTGAGGAGGTAAACATGACTTTATGGCAGAATATTATTTTCTGTTATGAACTACCTCTTGTAATTTGGCAATAAATCCAGTTCTGTCAGAAATTATGAGTTTAGTTTCCAAGGACCACAGCCAGTATTATTGCCTACATCTCTGCTGTAAAATGAATCCCATGTTTATTATATATACAGTAAATGTCAATACTTTAAACACAATGTCATCTTGAATGTGTTGTTCAACAGAGGAAGGAACAGCTAAACTACTACAAAGCCACGACATACCAGGCCATTATGGCTTTCGTATTTCTGTTAGGTTGTGATGTGTTTATGCTGTTGGATGCAACTGTGTGATATTGGATAATGATAACAAAAGTAGACGCTGATTGAGGCTTTATAGATACTAGTTAGTCATACCAAGCACGCAGTGAAATGTGCTGCAGGGCATGGCAGGATAAAAAAACTCCAGCTCTATTTGAATGTATTTTCTCAGTGTTTCTCCTTTAAACTCAAAGCTTTCTTGCTGTTTGATAAGTGGCAGCAATATATCTGACAACATTTCTGAGATGTATGTTGATTGCAACTTTGTAGAGATGCGCAAACACAGACCTCTCTTTTCCTTTTCGTCCTCATAAACTCTCTTTCTCTCTCCTCCCTACACACAGGATAATGCATATCCTTTCCTGCCCAGAAAAAGAAGCCACCATGAGCAACGTCACGGTCACCGACAACACTGAACCCATCAGCCGCACCATGAGTCCGGCTACCCCCAGCCCATATCCCTATCCTGTCAGTTTTCAGGTCTCTCTGACAGGCTTCCTCATGCTAGAAATCCTGCTGGGCCTGAGCTCTAACCTAACAGTGCTTGCCCTCTACTGTATGAAGTCAAACCTCATTAGTTCTGTCAGTAACATCGTCACCATGAATCTTCACGTGCTGGATGTGCTGGTCTGTGTGTGCTGCATCCCCCTCACCATCGTGGTGGTGTTGCTCTCCCTGGAAGGAGACACTGCACTCGTCTGCTGCTTCCATGAAGCCTGCGTCTCTTTCGCGAGTGTCGCCACTGCTGCTAACGTGCTTGCCATCACCCTTGATCGCTATGACATCTCTGTCAAACCAGCCAACCGAGTGCTGACCATGGGCCGTGCCCTGGCCCTGCTGGCTACCATTTGGGTGCTATCCTTCATTAGTTTCCTTGTACCCTTTATTGAGGTGGGTTTCTTTGCCCAAGGCCAAGCGGAGCTGAACCAGACAGTGGTGGAGAATGTGGTTCATACAAACCAGTATTACACTGAGCTGGGCCTATATTACCACTTGCTGGCTCAGATTCCTATTTTCTTCTTTACTGCCGTTGTCATGCTCATCACCTACTCCAAGATCCTGCAGGCGCTCAATATTCGCATTGGCACACGTTTCCACGCTTCACAGAAGAAGAAGGCTCGCAGGAAAAAGCGTCCATCCATGACGGCCATGACAACGCAGCAAGAGGCCACCGATGGATCCCAGAGCAGCGGCAGCCGCAATCCCACGCTGGGTATGCGCACCTCTGTCTCCGTCATCATCGCCTTGCGCAGGGCTGTAAAGCGCCACAGAGAACGGCGAGAACGCCAGAAGAGGGTGTTCAGGATGTCCCTCCTGATTGTGTCTACTTTCTTGCTGTGCTGGACGCCCATCACGGTGCTCAACACAGTCATCCTGAGCGTGGGCCCCAGTGACCTCATGGTCAAGTTGAGACTGGGCTTCCTGGTCATGGCTTATGGGACCACTATCTTTCACCCTCTACTCTATGCCTTCACCAGGCAGAAGTTCCAGAAAGTCTTGAAAAGCAAAATGAAGAAGCGAGTGGTGTCGATCATTGAGGCAGATCCTACCCCCAATAATGCTATTATTCACAACTCCTGGATCGACCCAAAGAGGAACAAAAAGGTGACATTTGAGGACAAAGATGCCCGACTGAAATGTCTGTCGTCTGAGGATGTGGAGTGAAGGAACTCTTTATCGTTAGTGAATACCATCAATACAGTCAAAGCAGCTACAACTGACATCAGGTCATGACAAAAAAAGGGAAAATGTTAATCCAAAGCAGTAATGTAAATAATATGTGCAATAGAAGGTACAAGAACAAGAGGTGAATAATTTATTACTATTTAATGAGAACAAAAGTAGGTTTCATAGATATATCATATACTGTACTGTAGATATTGCATGGCTTTTTGTAACAGTAGCAAAAAACAGTACATTGTGTACATACAAATACATGTACAGGGTAGGGTAAACAAGGTATATAAATAGAGAGAGAAGTAGGCATTGTTATGTAAATGTATATTTATAATAAATTTTGTGTTTACCCACCTAATGCAGCAAAAGACTTCCTATTCTCCCCTCCCCTGAGTAAAGTGTTTGTGATTCTGTGACAGCTGTGAGATTACTCCCATTCATCATCGTGCCACTTGCTCTGACACCAGACCCTGCGATCCCCAGCGACCACTGACCTTATTGTCCGGGAGCCCTCCGAGGGAAGGTCCTCACACTGAAATGAGACTATAGGTATGAAGATGCAACACAGACAGACGGGTCAGACGTGGACAAACAGGGACAGAAAGTAGTGGATTGCTCTGCTGAAATAGCTGGAAAGCTATGGGGGCACTTTTCACAACCACTGCTTTTAGAGTTCAAGAAGAGCACTCGCATTCCACAGACAAAACAGAACACAATGGTTCTCAACATCTCATGTGACATAAACCAGATGTAATCAAAACCTAGTCTGTTTCCCTTTAGCAGTCACCTCTTTGAGCCAAATGGAAAATCTACAGTTGCCTTATTTTGGCATGATGAATTGGGTACGACAATATGATTGAACAGGGACCGTTTCACTGAGCGCACACGCTGAACAAAGTGAATAAATAATAACAAACACTCTGCTAATTTTCAAAGAGAATTGAATCCGCAGATAACATGTTTTATTATGGAAGTTATTTAACCAAACTAAACGGAAATGGCTGTATTATCAAAGTGTCTGGTTTTAATAACACTAGCATAACAACAATGCTCTCCAAATAATCAAACCCATAACTGTAATGAAGGAAAACAGCAAATATCTCAAAGAAAATTAAGATTCTGTATGCATTGCACAACACTAGACAATGAAGTTCTTCTTGCCCGCTTGTGTATGACTACCAGGAACACGAGCTGACCATAGATTGTCAAGGATAAAGACAGTAAAATTGTATTTTCCAAGTGGTTGCTGCTGGTAGATTATACATTCTTGGCTCGACTTGTCTAGTTGACAAGTTTGCCCTAAATAAGTAGGAAATAATTTATTCATACAGCTGCAGAAAAATCTCAGAAGTACGAATCTACAAGAGGGGAAAAAAAAAAACTGTCAGCTTATTACATCCAGCATGCGCCTTAACATTAAATCTAGATGCAGAGTTACAATATCCATTAGCATATAAAGCCGTGCTCAGCTAGCGCAGTGTTGCACTTCATTTCAATCCCCGGGTCAGGGATTACGTTCTGCCTATGTTGTGGATATACACAGCGCATTCCCATGCATGCATAAAATTGCGCACAAACTCACAGGCATCCTGCGCTCCTCGGCTTATCTCGGTAATGAACTTATCACATGTGCGACTTTACTGTCTCAAGTACAATAGAAAACTGAGGGCCCTTTAGATCCTGAGAGCACAGGCCTGTTGGCAACTGGAGTGATTACACAACCGCGATCAGAAGCTTCTCCGGCTGTTGGCGTCTGGTTTGTGACACAGCAGAGAGGGGTGATATGGGAATATTGATGCAGGCAAGGTTCTTTATGGGCTTGCTGTAAACAGACAGTGTGGATGTCACGGTGCCTTGAGGGCGCATCTGTGATTGAGAGTGGAGATGGGATCACAGCCAGAAACAGATCAGCTGACAGGGCAAAGAAAATGACCTATGAGATGACACATTCACCCAGAGGATGAATTCAACACGAATATGTAACAGTCTGGATTTTAGAAGACAAACTTTAACTGTGAAGCGTCGATACACAAATGCATGTCCTTATTTCAGTTCCTACCATAACAACAGCACAACAATCCATTCCTGGTCAACTCATATATCAGAGTCCTTCTCAAATGTCAGGTACTATTCCAAACTTCATCAGTGCTACTGAAACAAATCATTTTTATTGATTATGTTCTAAAATTACCACTCAAAGACCAATACAGTTTATGCCAACTAGATTTTGAGGTCACAGTTTGTTTTCCATCCCGAGGTGCAGCCACACTACCAGCGGACTGGTAGATAAAAAACAAAATATATATAGATTTTACCTAAATAGCATTGTTGTGTCACATATGTATTAGTTTCAGTGTTTCATTGCAACAATAAGGTAGAGAGCTAAATTTGAAGCAGAATTATTTTCTCATATTTATCAGTGGTTAATGAACTCAAGCCTGAATACATCTCAACAAGTCTTCATCTCAAACGTCTACTCAACATACATTATTTGCTATTAGTTGCATTTAAAGGCTTAATCATTCTAATCAACTTAAACCTCCTTATCAGACTTCTTAATCTGCTGGCATATGATAGCTCCCCGTCTTCCCTGAAGATCCGCCCTACTTTGCCTCTGACTCGCTGGTCTTTCTTCCTTGGTTTGTGTAATGGTTAAATGGCTGATAAGACGGTTGGGGTTAGACATAAATGTCAGAGCCAATCAGAGGCAGAGTAGAGGGAGGTGTTCACAGAATGTGGGTGAGAAAAAACATAATTGTGTGTGTGTGTGTGTGTGTGTGTGTGTGTGTGTGTGTGTGTGTCTGTGTGTGTTAAACTCAGACAGCAGAGGAAAGAAGCAGTGCACCCATAAATTAGAAATGAACAAAACTGCAATTTGACACAATCCAATTACAAAATCACAAAGGGTGCAATTTAGGTTATACAATATGCAGTGCATCTGACCCAGTGTTTAAAGGGATAGGTTTACAAATTCAAGCCGCTTTTCTTATGTGGAAATCAAAGCTTTTGATGTCATCTCATGCAATAATGTTCCATCAAATGTCTTAAATCTATTACACAGAAAATATTGAACTGAAGCTTCTATAAAAAATAATCTATCTCAAATCAAATTGGGATATTTTATCCTGACAGATTTTGCGAAATATCTCAATTACATTTGCATCGATGTTCTCCCAAAGTTGTTTGGGCCTACAGTAACTGACACCCAAATGCAGCAGACTCTAAACTTAGGTTTTTTATTACATGACTATTTTTGGTGCAAATGTTTACCCTCCAGTTTGCTGGATGGCTTTCTGAGATTTATTCGCCAAACGGGAGATCTACCCACAGTTGGCGCCTGGCAGGTGTTAATATCGGACCCTGTACACCAGCCAAAACGAACAAGCCAAAAGAAAAAAAAAGTGACTCATACACAACCGACGTAACCTGTTGTTAAATTGTGAAATTAAGATATGCGCTTCTTTGAGTGTTTCTTAGTCAACGCCAGCAATCGTTCTGTGGAGTTGTGACACTAACGTACGCTGTCATAGTTTCGGAAATGCCTGCCAGTCAAAGCTGAGGATGACAAAGTATAGTCAAATTACTGCAGTTACATAGAAACGGTTTGATTTTTCAAGCAGACATTAAACAGCTCAGCTGGCCAATATGGACTTTGATGCACATTAAATCTGTATCATAGCAATGTTGGGCAGTGTGTTGTTAGCAACTGATTACACGAGTCTCCACTCTCACTCTGTGTTTTAAATGAACATATGCTATATTATCACATGCTCTGAACAACCACAATCTTCTGTTACATCATATTTGTGAGAAGCAAACATTAAAAATACCAAAAGATTTTGACCAATCAGTATGGGAATAATACCAGAGCAGAGGGAGTCGTCATCACTGAAATCTTTTCTCTTGTACACTTGAAACATGACATACAAAAATGTTAAAAACTCATATTTATGTCTGAGTCAGTCAGAGAGCTACGGACTTGAAAACACTTGCTAGCATAGCAAAATCAAGGCTACAAACAAAGTGTAACAGTCTCCATCAGTGCTCTCTGTATTCAAAAATGCTGTCTGATGCTCTCAGCATGTAATTCTCTATTCCTCAAATCAACACCCCCCCAACGTACAATAAGAAATTCTTTGTTATATGTGACCCAGTGTAGTAAACACTATTGTGGAGGCCTTTCTTACTCAACAACAAGCTGAGTGTAACCCGCTTGTTTATTGTAACATTAGCATTATGATTAATTTTCTCTACACACTGCCCTCCAGCAGGGCTTTATATAATTTATATTTAATTGTTTTTTTTATTGTTATTGTTGCAAAACTGCTGCTAGTGTTCCTCGTTTGAATCTTTACAATATGTCGCAGGATAATAGACTTGCTAGCGGTGCTTTTCTTTAATTGTTCTTGAACATATAATTACCAGGAGGAGGTGTGCAGTTTTAATATATAAATTTAAAAAAAATTTGTCTTGAGTTTATGCAGAGAGAAAAATATCTATTAAAATTGTGAATCATCTATAAAAGTAATTTATTGGCCACATCGCCAAGCTCTGTCTGGAATGAGGCCACAGCCGATCATGATTCAAGCTCAGTGTTAAAAATAATCGCGCGTCTAGCGTATAGCAGCAAAATGTTCTCTCGCATTTTCTTGACATGTTTGAATTCCAAGATTTGGACCAAAATATTACCCAGCACTTTGGGGTGTTTCGCAAAAATGTTGTGATGGACATTGTGCAGTGACCTGTGGCTACAATTTTGCCTCGGACTCATTATTATGACAAATGCAATTTAATTTTAAAGATGCATTAAGTAATTTTCTACCACCGGAGGACAAGTAATACAACAGAGCCTAGACGTACTGTTGCTTAAAATCCACGGTAAGTGTTATTTTTATGTCCCTCGTTTTTCATTTTCTTCCCTCACGGCACCTTTAACCTTGGATAACCTGCACAGAAAAAAAAAAAAAGTCATCAATAGCAGAAGTTCAACGATGCTTCACTGCAAGCCTCATTAGAATCACTTGACCCTGGTGAGTCCTCTCCTTTATCCCCTGTCCCTCTCCCCTGTAGTCCACATCAAGGCTGCCACTTGCTGCTGTTCCTATCACACGCATTATGTCCGTCCGGCTCTCGCTCAGCGGCTGCCTCTCTTAGACAGCTATCCCCAATTCAGATGCCATCTCTTCAGGGCCCCTCTCTATCCAGCCGCAGACACAGAATAAAAGCCTGGGAAATCACATTACTCCGTCCGTATGGAGCCTCTATTGCATTAGGTCAGTGAACACTCAACTGTAATTCTGCTACTGTAGAGGAGAAGAAAGTGAATCGAGCACACCAGCCAGCACGGCTTGACAAATT